TAGACTAGACTATAGACTAGACTATAGACTAGATAGACTAGACTATAGACTAGACTATAGACTAGACTATAGACTAGACTATAGACTAGACTAGACTAGACTATAGACTATACTATAGACTAGACTATAGAATAGACTATAGACTAGACTATAGACTAGACTATAGAATAGACTATAGACTAGACTATAGACTAGACTATAGACTAGACTATAGACTAGACTATAGACTAGACTATAGAATAGACTATAGACTAGACTATAGACTAGACTATAGAATAGACTATAGACTAGACTATAGACTAGACTATAGACTAGACTAGGCTATAGACTAGACTATAGAATAGACTATAGACTAGACTATAGACTAGACTACAGAATAGACTATAGACTAGACTGTAGACTAGACTATAGACTAGAATATAGACTAGACTATAGACTAGACTATAGACTAGACTATAGACTAGACTAGACTATAGACTAGACTATAGACTAGACTATAGACTAGACTATAGACTAGACTATAGACTAGACTATAGACTAGACTGTAGACTAGACTGTAGACTAGACTATAGACTAGACTATAGACTAGACTATAGACTAGACTATAGACTAGACTATAGACTAGACTATAGACTAGACTATAGACTAGACTAGACTAGACTATAGACTAGACTGTAGACTAGACTGTAGACTAGACTATAGACTAGACTGTAGACTAGACTGTAGACTAGACTATAGACTAGACTGTAGACTAGACTATAGACTAGACTATAGACTAGACTATAGACTAGACTATAGACTAGACTATAGACTAGACTATAGACTAGACTATAGACTAGACTGTAGACTAGACTGTAGACTAGACTATAGACTAGACTATAGACTAGACTATAGACTAGACTATAGACTAGACTATAGACTAGACTATAGACTAGACTATAGACTAGACTATAGACTAGACTATAGACTAGACTATAGACTAGACTATGACTAGACTATAGACTAGACTATAGACTAGACTATAGACTAGACTATAGACTAGACTATAGACTAGACTATAGACTAGACTATAGACTAGACTATAGACTAGACTATAGACTAGACTATAGACTAGACTATAGACTAGACTATAGACTAGACTATAGACTAGACTATAGACTAGACTATAGACTAGACTATAGACTAGACTATAGACTAGACTATAGACTAGACTATAGACTAGACTATAGACTAGACTCACTACTATAGACTAGACTATAGGACTAGAACTATAGCTAGACTATAGACTAGAATAGACTAGACTATAGCTAGACTATAGACTAGACTATAGACTAGACTATAGACTAGACTATAGACTAGACTATAGACTAGACTTATAGACTAGACTATAGACTAGACTATAGAACTAGACTATAGACTAGACTATAGACTAGACTATAGACTAGACTATAGACTAGACTATAGACTAGGACATTAGACTAGACTATAGACTAGACTATAGACTAGACTATAGACTAGACTATAGACTAGACTATAGACTAGACTATTAGACGAGACTATAGATATTAGACTATAGACTAGACTATAGACTAGACTATAGACTAGACTATAGACTAGACTATAGACTAGACTATAGACTAGACTATAGACTAGACTATAGACTAGACTATAGACTAGACTATAGACTGGACTATAGTTTCAAACGCTAAGTTAAAATATCTCGAAAAAAGGAGATATAACAGTGGTTAAACCTCTATTTTGAAGTCAACAGATTTCTTTGCGCTGTTATAGCGTCATTCCTTTAGAAAAGTATATTTGGTATATGGGTTTCGACTTTTTTAAAATTTTGATGGCCTTTGTTATCTGAACCAAATCAATCAATTTTAATTTTGAGAAAAATGGCAATATTTTGTGGTTATTTCAAGAACAAGCAATTCGAACAATATCGATAATTTCTATAAACTGAAAGATAAATTAACAGTTAATAATTTTTTAAGACTTCTAAGACCAGTATACGTTCACATTGCACTTTTTATCCAATTAATTGTGTTTGTTAAATTGATAACAGTATAAAGTTTTTAAATTTTCTATACCTACATTCAGAGAAAGAAGACTTTTGAATGACACTACATACCGCCTGCATTACTTACAAAGAGTCTAGTAATAATGTACATACATATTAGTATTTACATATTTCTGGATTTGCCATGTTAGAAACCACTTTAGCTTTTCAACTGGGGATATCTAGCTATTTTTCTAGTTCAACTCAACTCAACTTAGACCAAGGACTTTTTAATCTATGTCTATAGTTTGAGGCTAATTATTCAGATATTTATACAGATTCCATTTAAATATTTATAAATCTTTTTCGCTGTTAACACATTTTACTGCCAACATATATTTTTTATTCCATTTTGTTTTGCTGTTCTGTTTCATTCTTTGCAGATTATGTTTTTGCCATTTTTGCTGTGTTTCTATGTTAGTGGTCAAGGTCTAAGGAGCAGTCTGCAAAAAAGAAGAAGAAACTTCTGAATACATAATAAAAATGCAAACAGTAAAAAACATAAAACACATTATCATCGACATATTTACTGCATGGCAAAAAAAAAACAAAGCAAAACAACTAAACACTGAATGAAACAGCACATAATAAAATACATAAAAATGCCTGAAAGGCAGCAGCATGAAAAAATGCGAAGAACAGGAGAAAATAAGAAAATGGGGAAACGCAAAACAAATTGCATAAATTGCAAATGCATCATGCACAAACAACGTGATTGTGACAAACATACAACAACAGCAGCAAAAGGAGTATGTTGTTATAACCTTCACCACTTCAGTAGAGATGGTATAGTGGGTTTTATGCTGATGTTTGCAACGCACAATGATATTAGAATCATTTTCTTAGCTGTCCATGTGAAATTTGTATTCAAAATTCAGGTGGCAATTTTGAAGATAATTCAATGAAATTTGATACATAATCTTCTATCCAGAGACTCACCTATCCTCCATACAACTGAAACCCTCAAATAGGTCTTTTGAGCTCATAATAATGTTTAATATACTCGTGTCTTGACAAAAAATTGCCACCTTTTATGAGGATCGGTCCATATTTTCACCAAGCTCTTTTACTTTCATAACTGGTGTAGAGTATAAATAATATGGCCGATTACGTCCGACTGTTTTTTCTTACTTGTATAGTGAAAAAAACTAAGTTTTAGATTTTAAACAAATTTGAATTTGAACTTCATGGTCCCGCCAGGGGCGCAGTCAAGAGTCCTCCTTTAAAACGATCCTATTTCTTTGTTTGTAGCTATTAACAAGTAAAAGTTGTATATTCGGCTGTGCCGAATCTTATATACCCTTCACCACGATGTGTTAAAAAAAACAGTCAGTACGAATTTTATTATAAAAAATCAAAAAATACGAAAAAGTATGAGAATTTCCTGTGTGCATAAAAACCAAAAAGTACCAGTCATAGAACGAAATAGTAGCAAAAATCCTTTCCTACAGATTTTCACTAACTTAGGATTCTTAATGTTTAATTTTATGTTTCTAGGTTCATGAAGAAGGAAAAAGTACTGAAAAGTCCCCTTTTATATGTTCTCGCTCACTTAATTTCATGTTTCTATGTTTAATATGATAGAAAATTCAAAAAGTACCTTTTGAAGAACGAAAAAGTACCAAAAGGTCCCCTTCTATAGGTTCTCACTTAATCTGTCATGTTTCTTGGTTTAATATTATAGAAAATTCAAAAAGTGCCTTGTGTAGAACGAAAAAGTACCAAAAAGTACCCTTTTATAGGTTCACAAAAATGAAATTTTCAGAGGTAGTCTCAGACTTTTGTTCATATCTTCCTTATTTGTGGACCGAATTTGCTGATTTTAGATAGCGTTCTATTCGATCGTATGTCTGATAGAATTTTTGAAGATTAGGATCTCCCAGATATCTGGGATCTTCCATGATGATGTTTCCATGATGATAGATCCCATCATGGTGTATTGCAATCCCGGGATGTAGAGGTGCTACCAGCACCTCTAGTCTGCCGCGACTATAAACTGGTGATGTCACTTCACTCCTCGGCTAGTCCTTAGTATGATATGACATGGGGTCTAACCAGAGAACCACATAATCTGGTACTATGGGTGTCCAGTTGCCCGCAGGACTATGTCCTGGCTGGTGAGTTGATTGAGGTTCCTTCTGGATCCACGTAGTGGCTATGGTTTAAACCCAAATTCGCGGGGAGAGTAAGTGGCGGTTAAAGGACTGTTGTAAGGTAAAGTCAATATTTCGGGATAAGTTCGGTGCTGTTGCCGAAACAACAGATACCTCACAGAGGAGTGACTATGGGACTAAGCGTTGGAAATGAGTTGGTGTTAATTGTATATGATAAGGGATGAATGTGGGGTATGTGGGCCTCATCCACTTGTTTTCCTAGAATAAGTGTGTTGTATGTTTTTCTCTTATGAATGTGTCGGATAAATGAGAAGTGTGCTGGGTTGAATGATGATGGATGAAAGGTATCATATACAAATGATACCATTGAATTTTATTACCTTCCTTGTCCAGATATGTTCAGAGTAAACTCTGTTCATACCAGAATTACCACAGTGTGAGTAAGTATAAAGTCTCGGCTTATTTGATGGATTCGTACTTCGGTCTACCGGTTACGTCTCTAGGTGCTGTTGCCGAATCAACAGAGGCCATCCCATCTGCGTGGTTGTAATCAGATGTGATGTTTTACATCTCGGAAGTTTAGCAGCAACGGGGCAGCAATGGTCAGAGATTAGATAGCTCAAGTACACGAGCAAAGTGCTTGTACATGGACCAGCTTTGGCCATGTACGGAAATTGCCACCTGATTCCTTCATACACACGCATAGACAGACGGGCAGACATCGCTAAACCGACTTCGACGCCTATAAGGAGTTACAAATTTGTACCTTATGAGGACACAAAATTAATATTTTTAAATTATGAACAGAATAATACACTTATATATACCCTTTTCACAAACGTGAGGGGACAAGGTAGATGTTTTATATACCAATGGTTTAGAAGTTAAGTCTACTTTTCAGAAATGTATAAACTTAAAAAAATTGACAAAAAAAGCTTGAATTTTTGCGAGGACAAATATTTTAAAATTAAAAAAAAAAATTCTATTTACTGATTTTTTTACGAAATCACTATTAACTTAAACTTAAAACTGCGTTCATTCTCCGTCGAAATTAAGCAGCAACCACAGCACTAGCAATTGCGGAACCGGCCTCAATTACAGTTTTAGCTTTATTAACCGTATCAACAACTTTAGATGCTTTTTTCACACCTTTATCCTGTAACGAAATTGGCAATTACCACCTCAATAAAGACATTGTAAGTTGAAATAATTACCAATTCATGTCCGACTTTGCCGAAATGATGATGTGCTTCAGTAGCTTGTTGGCCCAAAAGGCACAGAACTAAAATGGCCAAAAAAGCTAAATATTTATTAAAGTTCATGGCGGTTGGTAGGCGTTGCTAGTAAAAAATTTATAACTCAACTAATGACTTTTGTCAATAAAAATATTGTTTATATAGAAAATATTGTTGTTTTTTTATGTAAAAATTTAATTATTATTGTGTTATCAAGTTCGAAGTAACACATGGTGTAATGGCCTTAAAAGGCTTAAAAAATCATTAAATTTTGATATGAAAATATACGCAAAACTTGTAAAATATTACTGACTAAAGCATTAAACCTTCCTCAACTAATTTAAAAGTAATTTCCCTCTAAATATTAGAGAATAATTAGCTAATTATTTTATTCTAAGATTATCTAGCAATGACCGTACGTCTATTGATAACGCGATAGGCTCGGATCGGGAGGAGCAAAAATCCTGCAATAGGTAAGTGAAAAAATTTTGTATTGTACATCTATTAGAGATAATAATGATAACTTTTGTTCCTATATTGATTTAAAAGTTTTTATACATCGGTTTTTAACTTAAAATTTTTCACTTTTAGTTTTATAACCCTAACAATGATAAAAAAGTACATTTAAAATATTATTATTAGATATTTAAAAATAACATTAATATTTATAAACTTAGAATTCAATGGCCTAGTATAACAAAACCGTTAATTACTTTTTAAGTCTTTAATTGAATATAGTTTGATGCTTGATCGATTACTTTCAAATTGATAAAAATAACTATAAAATATTAATAAAACCAAAAAATTCGTATATAAACACAGTTATACCTCAGAAAAAATATCAGTTAAATTTTCAATTCCTTAACGAACACAAACCAACATGAACTTCAACAAATATTTTGCTTTCTTGGCCATATTGGTTTTGTGCATTTTGGGTCAACAAGCTACCGACACAAAGTATACAGAGGTGTCACTTTTGACATTTAAAAAAGTCTAAAATCAGCTTTTGTTTGATGTTGAAATTGTTTGATGAGAAGAGGTATATAAAATACAGCTAAAAAAAATTATTGAATTCGTTTTGTGCGAAAGAGAGGGAAATAGTTTTTTTGCTCGTGACGCCTCTGTATACCCTGTGCTACCGAAGCCCATCATCATTTCGGTAGAATCGGACATGAATTGGTAATATATAAAGTTAATGTTTAGTAACTGATCTTATAATAATTGAAATTTTTAGAATAAGGGAGTCAAAAAAGTCACCAGCGATGTTAATAAAGTTACCAGCGGTGTTAAACAGGTTGCCAATGGTATTGCAAAAGCTAAAACTGTAATTGAGGCTGGTTCCATCGCCGGTGCCGTGGCAGCAGCTGCTGCTTAAGGGAATAAATGTTCATATTTATCTATTATCTATTAACTTTATATGAGTACAAATTTACAATTAAATTAAAATGATATTAAATGAAACTTGCTTTTTTGTTAATTAAATTAGTGGTAAAAAAATCAGTTTTTTGTATAAACTTATCAATGGAGTTTCTTAAAACATTATTTTTTGCATTATCTGATTTTCAAGGATCAACTCTACAGTACATATACTTTAAGGCAACACATAATTACTTCCCACTGTAGTGGTGTGGGGGGTCACATTAAAAGTAAAAATATAGAGGGAATGGCCGACCATAAGTTACTCCATCTTTTTATGTGTAAATCGGAATGTCCGGATGTAGGTGTGCTAATAAAATAATGAAGCGATTTCAACCATTTTCAATAGGCTGCATCTTTGTGTCGAAAAACACATAAATACGCAGAAATGTTCAAATAACAAATAATTTCTCCATAATTAAAGAATTAGTAATATTTATCTGAGACTTACTAATGTATACATGAGGAACCAGACTTCATCAAATTCTGTATCGATTTAGCTATGTCCGTCTGTCTGCCTGCTTAAGCAAAATAGATCCAACAAATTTACCAAAAATAGTAATTATTGTCCTCAGCTGTTTGGTATTGCAAATCAGCAAAATCAGTCCACTTACTAAAAAGTTATGAATAACAAGTAAGAGTGTTATATTCGGCTATATACGTTTGACTCGAATGAAAGTTATGTCGAATTTCATCTATATACTTGTATTTTTAAGCCTGATATAAGCGTTAAAGTAATTTTCTGAAGGGGACTTTATATGGGGGTAGGGTCAGTTATGGACCGATCCTTATCAAATTTTTTAGATAGATTTTGACTCCTATAAAACTTATTTATGTCGAATTTCATCTATATACTAGTATTTTTAAGACAGTAATGAGCGTTAAAGTCATTTTCTGAAGGCGACCTAATATGAGGGGTAGGGTCAATTATTGACCGATCCTCATAAAATTTTGCATAGTAATTTTGGATCATAAGAAACTTACTTATGTCGAATTTCATCGCCATATTCGTATTTTTAAATAAGTTATGAAGTTAAAGCTGTTTTTCAAGGGGTCACTTGTATGGGGGCTATCCGAAAACGTCAACCGATATTGGCCATTTTCAATACCAAAGAAACCTTACCTATAAGGAATATTTATGTGAAATTTCAACCCTCTAGCTCTTTCCATTCGGACTCTATCGTGCTTTCAACAGACAGACGGACGGACAGACATGGCTAGATCGTCTTAGAATTTATTAAGGACCCAGAATATATATACTTTTATGGATCTACGACCAATATTTCGATGTGTTACAAACGGAATGACAATAGCAATCAATATACACCCCATCTTTTTTAATGGTGGGTATATCAATTTCAAAAAATCAAGAGTAGTTTTTTCACAAACTATCAAAGACAATTCCATAGATAGTTACACGTTATTTTTCCACTCAGAGATGAATCCTGTTCAAAATCATAAAAATCTAGGAAAATTTATTAATCGTTAAAAGGTCCACTTCCGAAAATCACTTAAATATAGCGGGATAAAACTTAGCGAAATTTTTTTCTGATTGGCCTTTAATTGGTCTTAGCTTCAATATAAGGTTAATGTTGAATATAATTTATTAATAAATAACGATATCGGATTAAAAATCGTCATGAACCATTTTTCTTTATATATAAATTGACATAGCTCCCATATTAGGCCCTTTTCAGAAAATGACTATATCGCTCGTAACTGGAAAGTTTTAAAGGAACTACAATCTCTCTGTCAAAGTTTTTGATGTGTGGTCCACAATTGACCCTTCCCCCTATATAAAGTCCCCCTCAGAAAATTACTTTAACGTTCATAAATAACTTGCTTGAAAAAGCTAGTATAGCAAGGAAATTCGACAGAACTATACAACTTTAACAGGAACTCACTCTAACAAATTGTATAAGGATCGGCCCATAATTGACCCTACCCCCATATAAAGCATCCCCCAGAAAATTGCTTTAATGCTCATAATTTTCTACAATATGGCATCGAAATTCGACATAAACAGCTTTTATAAGAACTAAAACCGGTGAAATTTTTAAGGTGCGGTCCATTATTAGTCCTTCCCTTCAGAAAATTACTCTAAAGCTCATAACCGTCTTTATAATACTACTAGTATAGCGACAAAATTCAACATAAACAAGTTTTGTAAGAACAAAAATTTCCCTACCAAATTTAATTATGATTGGTTCATAATTGACCCAACCACCAATACAAGATTAATTTCAGGTAATAAATTTATGGCCCATAACATTTTCGGAACATAATTATTGCAGAAAATCTGTTTATTATTTTTAATCGTTAAAAGATAATGGATTTAAGGTAACATTCGAAAAAAATTATTTTTGGAACACTGAAACAAGCTAACATTAACCTCCTAAGATCTAGGTCCATACATAAGACCTCCTTCCATAATTAACTTTAATTTACAACATACGCCTTGATGCCGAATATAACATTCTTATTAGAAAATCTAAAAATTTCTCTCTAAACATAGGGTTCAATACACAGTATGATAAAATGATAATTACTTTTTAAGCCTTTAAGTGAAAAGAGTTTAATTTTTGATCGATTACTTTCAAACTGATAAACTTAAAAAAACACGTTTTTGCTTCAATAGTTACAAAATTCCCTATATAAGCAGCGACGTTCCTTAGAAAAGTTATCAGTTAGATTTTCAATTCTTTAAGATCGCAACCAAAGACATAATGCACTTCAACAAATATTTTGCTTTCTTGGCCATTTTGGTTTTGTGCATTTTGGGTCAACAGGCTGCTGAAGCCCATCACCATCATTTCGGAAGAATAGGTCATGAATTGGTAAGCGTCATTTTTAAAATCGAGAAACTGTAATAATTTAATTAATTTGTAATTTAGCACAAGGGAGTCAAAAAAGTCGAAAAGGTCAGCCACGATGTTAATAAAGTTACCAGCAGTGTTAAGAAAGTTGCCAGCGGTATTGAGAAAGCTAAGAATGTAATTGAGGCTGGTTCTATTGCCGGTGCTGTGGCAGCAGCTGCAGCTTAAGGGACTAAATGGTTATAATTGTGTATATTGACGTTAAAAAAGTGAAAATTACGGTTAAAATAAAAACACTAAATGCAATTTATTATGGCATTTACAGAAATATATGTTGTTTTGAAAATTATTTATTTCAAATAAAGAAACTTTTATGTTGAATGGGGCCTAGGGTCAAACGACGGCCGATCATTATAAAAATTGGCATTGTCATTTATGCCTAAGGTAAGGTTGTATGGTTCGGGTTGTATGGGGGCTAGGTGAATAATGGCCTGTAGCTTGCGCACAAGGTTTACATGGACAACCAGCCAGACGGACGGACATGTCTTAATCGAATCAGAATGTGAGTGTAGGACCAATATTTTTATGCGTTACAAACATTAGCACAAACGTATAATACCCTCAGCACTATAGTGGTGTAGGGTATAATCAATAAACACCATTATCATGATAAAATTGTACTTAAATAACTTTAATGTGAACGTATGTAAATACATCTAGCAATATTTATAAGGATAGTCCCATAATGACCCCCCGTATAACTCCTCTTTTAGAAAATCATTTTTTTGTCGACAAATTGTTAAAATATTTCGGAATTATTCAAAAACAACATAAAAGCTTTATTATTAAAAATAATCCATATTTTTTACATACTATTCACTGGTGT